GAAACATAATGGGTAATAAATTAAACTGGAAATAATGACCCAGTTAAATGCTCCTTTTATAAGATGTGACACAGCGAACAGCACTGGGAGCTTTAGGAGATGTTGTGTATCCAGCGAACTACCAGAGAGCCCAGTGAAGCAGGAAACTTCACTTAAAAGACATCTCAGTTGAATGTGTAATCATTCTGTCTGCAAAGTGGCTTGGCGTAGACTTTTGCTACTGCAATCCCAGTTCAGGTGGCATGCAAGGAGTCCAGATCCTGAAGCCTCAGCTGCCCCTGTAGAGTGATGCTGCTGTAATCTTTAGTGTGCTGCCCCAAGAGGGCTCCAGATTAAACTGCTACAGACAGTCCAGGGAAGGGTATTTTGTTAGCCTGCTATGGTCCATCTCCCTGCCCGAGCCCCACTTGGCTAAAACCTCTAATGTTAGTCACAGCCTCTAATTTCAAAGTGATGCAAATAGCCAAAGCACACCCAGTAGGTACCACCTGATGTTCACTAAGTGAACAGCTACAGGCCTGATTCAAGGCTTAACGTATGCCATGCTTTCCAAAGCACTTGGTATTAAATCCTGCATTAATCAAAGCATCACATCTAGACCATTTGCTGTGGTAACAGAACCCTGATAAACCAAAAGCAGATTGCAGGAGTGAGGCCCATTTCCCTCCTGCCTTTCACAGGAAAGGAAATGATCTGAAGGCACGTGACGCAGCTAAAGTAACTGTGTCAGAGGACAGTTCGCTGCAAAGTAACTGCTGCATAGACCTTTCCACAGAGAGACAGCCAGGTGGACATAGCCAGAGATTTACCATAGCAGCACCAAGCTCCCTGCTGCCATCCTGAAGGGATTCAGACATTACTGAAAGGGGCTGAAGAGGCACAATTCAGTGCCAGCAGGATTCTTAGAACGGATGAAGCTCAGCACTTTTTTTTAAACAAGGCCTTGACCAAGTTGTGATCTGTTCCACCTTCCACCATGACACCCACAGATCTCAGAAGAGAAGTGGGAGCAGGCTGTGAAATGGAAGAAAGCACTGCAGGAAATCAATGTCAAGGGGGGGCAGATGACAGAACAAGGAGCAATGGTCTTAAGTCACAGCAAGGGAAGTTGAGGTTAGATATGAGGAAAAACTCCCTTATGAGGAGAGTCATAAAGCCCTGGAACATGCTATCCAGAGGCCGTGGAATCTCCATCCTCAGAGGTTTTTAAGACCTAGGTAGACAAAGCCTTGGCTGGAAGGATGTAGTTGGGGATGGTCCTGCCTTGAGAAGGGGTTGGACTAGATTAGCATTTCTCAATCCGTGGCTCACGGCCCAAAAGTAGGTTGCAAGAATATATGAAAAGGTTGTGAACAAACTTTAAAAATGGATTCTCCTTTAAAGTAGAAAAATGTGGGCAACTGGGAGTTTTCCTCTGTAGGCTGTCAGAGTTCCAGCCTGCAAGGGACTGCTTGGGGGCTCCCATGCCCCAGCCAACCACCTCACCCCATACACTGGGGAGCTGGGGCTTGGGAGAGGGGGCAGCGGGTCAGGAGTGAGGGGCGCTGGGTCAGGACTGGCCATCAATGTTTACAAATGGGTCCTGAAACAAAAAAGGCTGAGAACCACTGGACTAGATGCCACCTTCTGTACTCTCTTCCAACCATCATGTTCTACGATTCTGTGATTCTATGTCCGTCCTGCCAGCCGGGCCATGCTCAGACACATGAAGCGCTTCGTGCTGCCTCCAAGACATCACTTGTGCGGAGCGGGTGAAGTGGCCCACGCAGCTTGGTCCTCCCTGCAAGCAACACCACTGTCTACCTGCACCCGGCCTTCCCCAGAACCGCTGTGGCTTTCCTGCCCGCTGCTCCTCAGACGCCCCTCTTGCTGCTGGAGCTGGGCAGGCATGTAAGTCGTGCCTCTGAGTCAGGAAAGCGCCTGGCCCCAGAGCTGCAAGGCTTGGACTGGAGGAGGGCGGGAGCTCTCATTCAACATTGCCAGGTCTTAAATATAAAATGATTGTATTTGCTGAAAAACTATCATTCACTGAAAAAATATGCAAATAAGTGTGCAAATAAGCCTTTTTCTTATTTACTTTACACTGCTCCCTCTAAGACACCAGTGAGTGAGAGAGAACTGGGTCAAAGTTGAAGCATTTCTTGATTTCAAGGCAAGCAGTCAGAAGAAAGTGCTGACAGCAAACCCCAAAGTCAGTTATCACTTCTCAGCCTCTTGAAGGCTCAGATCAAGTATTGGACATCCCGGACTAATGAGTCTGGGATGGAGGATGCTTGCCTGTTTTTGGTGGCATCCAAATTCAAAGACCTCTGGGCTTGGGCCTGCACATAGGATTTGGGACCGTCTGCCAATGAAGCCCTGGGGCGAGACGCTGGGATGCAGGACGTTCGCGGTGTTTAGAACAATTCAATAAATATTTACCTGGCAGGGGAAATACCATGACCACTAAGGTGGTTTTCCAAGTCACAGGGAAAACCACTTTCTTGGCAGGGGGTAGGGATAGTACCTTGACTGAAGCAAGGCATAGTTAGCCTCCCACATTCACGTCCAGTGGGAAGCTCTTGGCTATACAGGCAACCCCCGCTTCGTGCTCTTACTTGGTTCCTGAACTACCCAGTCAAGTGAAACTGAAAATATCTGACGACCCAAGATGGCGACTGCAACTGCTCTTAATGACCCAAGATGGCGACCACGAGCGCTATAACAAAACTCGCTGAGCGCTAGGTGAAATCGGGTATCACTTTCAAACGAGCCTTATAGTGAAATAGCACCAAGCAAAACGCCGTTAAGCAGGGGTTGTCTGCACACCAACATGACGGAAACAGCAGCCTTCTCCCTAACTTGCTCCAGCGGCCACGTGGCCAGGGTGGCCAGCAGAGAGGACCTTCCAGTTTTCCACTACTCTGTCCTCTACGGATACGAAACTCAACGCCTTTATATCCTCTGTTTTTCTCTTGAAGAGAAATAAATAACTAAGGAGTAACAAAAAATTTTCTTGCAGAGAAAAACAGAGGACAAAGACATCAGGTTCGCATCCGTAGAGGACAGAGTAGCAGAAAACAGGACCGTCCGCTATAACGGCATACGAAACCCGCCGCCTTTACATCCTCGATTTTTCACTTCGAGAAATAAACGCCCCGCGCACAATCCCGTTGTCCTCTATCGATACGAAACCCGGCGCCTTTACGTCCTCTGTTTTTCTCAAGAAAAATACTTGGAACTCCTTCGTTATTTATTTCTCTTCAAGAGGAAAACAGAGGGCAGAAAGGCGCGGGGTTTCGTACCAACGGAGGACCCAGGACAACCCTCTAGGCTGCGGGCTCGCACACTCGGGGGCATCCAACCCCCGCCAAAGGATTTGGAAACGCCGGAAGCCCCACGCAGGGGTGGGTGGAGGATGTTTGCCGCTAGGAGGCCCACACACGCTCCTTGCACGCCTCCAGATTTGGCCCATTTGACTCGGGGGCGGGGTCCCGCACCGCCGCGCCGGGCCCGCGCTCACCTCCGCGCCGCCGCCTCCACGCTTTCGCCCGCCTGCACTTTGCCGCCGAAGCCGTTCCAGAGCCCGGCGCCGAAGCCGCGCTTCTTCAAGCCCAGCAGCACGCGCGGCGGCCGGAGCCGGGGCGCGGCGCGTGCTTCCGGGGGGACGCCGGAGTCGGACGCACGGGCCGGGACCATGAGCTGGTGAGGGGGGTGCGCTCCCTCTCTGTAGGGGGCGCCGTGGTGCGGCCCAGCTCCAATGCAGGACAGGCCCTGGCGCGGGGGCGAGCTCGTCTTGCATTCGGGAGCGGCGCCATAAAAGGAGGCCCTGTGGGAAACCCTGCCCACTAGGCTGGGCAGGGCAAAGGGTGCACGCGTGCACACCCTGCAGCCGAGCTGCTGGGGGGGGGGTCCATCCAGCCCCAGCGCTGGAGGGGGCGCGTGGAAGGGCCCCGTCGTGAGTGGCGGGTTTCTGGAAAGCAGCCGCGCCGGGAAGGGCGGTGTGGGATTGCTGCGGGAGGTGTCCGGGAGCCCTGGGATGGAAGGGTTGGTGGATGAGATCGAGTGGGCACGGGTTTTCGGGTATACAAATGGCAGATGAGGTTCTTGGGGTGAATCGAGGGTATTGAAATGGCGCTCTGCTTGGGACCGGGAGCGTCGTATGTGCGTGGAACGGCACAGCACGAAAAGGGGTGTTGGGAGCTGGCCTGGCCCTCGAACCAGAGTTTCAGCGTAACGGCACTGGTACAGGAGCGCGGAGGCTGCCCCGATGCGCTGGGGTTCGAGCACATCAGAGCAGACTTATAGATTCATAGATGTTAGGGGCTGGAAGGCACCTCGCAGGTCATCGGGTCCAGCCCCCCCCGGACTTGATCGAGTCTGCTGGAGTGTGGCAATTGCTGTGCTGCAGCAGCCTCCTGCATCTCATGTATCAGTGTGCCTGCACTTAAAAATGGCACTTGGAGAGCTTTATGTAAAGCTTGTTGAATAAGCTTTAGTTCAAGTGCCCCTGCTGCCATTTTGAAGCGTGGGGACACTGATACATGAGACATGGTGATGCTTTAAGTGGAGCTGCTCCAAGAGCCACTCTAATTAAAGTACTCCCCCCGGAAGGGGTAAAAGTGTCCTAAGTGCTGAAGGCTGCAAGTGGGAGAGGAACAGTGGAAAAAGCCCTGGTCTCACTCAGTTCCCTCTCCCTTTCAGTGTCCCCTCTCTGCCCCTGTGTGACACAGGAGACTGGGTAAGATGGACCTATGGTCTGACCCTGTAAATGGCAATTCTTGCGTTCTGAATGGGCTCCGTAATGGGGATTCCTGAAGACTCCTCCCTGGCTTGCCCCTGGGGCTTTACAGCTGAGGGCAAGCAAAACTCGGGGGCATCTGAACCCCAAACCTCTGGGCTTGGGCCTGTAAGTAGGATGCCCACCAAAGGTTTGGGAAACATCTGAAGCCCCAGATGGGGGTGGAAGATGTTCGCTGGTAGTAGGGCCACTTATGGTTCTGGACTGACTCCCAGATTTGGGATTTGTTTTGGCTAATTTGGCTTGGGCTACAGAAAAGTTAAAAAAACCCCCCAAAACCTTGGTGCTGCCACAGTATAAATAGTGTCTAAATATGAATCAACTGTACAGACCCGAGAGTCTCAAAAATAAAACAGTACATCTTCTTAAAAGACTGTGTTGTAGATGAGCTTAGTGATAAATTGGAAGGACTAAAATCAAGATGGGAGTTAATTATGTGAAAAGGTGGGGTTCTCAAACTTGCAGGGGCTATGCACTAATTGGTTTCCTTGTCTTTTTTTCGTAGTTATCAGAGGTGGACAAGCCCTTTGCTTCTGTGCCAGAGGTTGCACACTGCAGTGGTATGTCTGAAGAGCAGAACTGGAACAGAGCACCGCTGGCTGGCGCGGCATTTGAAGGACCCATTTGTGAAGGCAGTGAAACAGCAGAATTATCGTTGCCGAAGTGCCTTCAAACTGCTGGAGATTGATGATAAACATCAGGTTCTGTGTCCAGGGCTTTCTGTGCTAGACTGTGGAGCTGCTCCTGGGGCGTGGAGTCAGGTTGCTATACAGAGGGTCAATGCCTTGGGCACTGGTAAGTGCACAAGCTTAGCTCCCAAATGTAGGAATTAGGCAGTGAAATGCCATAGGTGATGGGATGTTTCACCAGATACAGACTTGGCAATTTCAGGTATCTGGTAGTTGAGAGAGAGAAAGGAAAAGACAAAAGGTCAGACAGGCAATCACTTGGAAGAGTGGAAATGCTAATGTCCTCCAAAAGGAGTACAAAGGGCCACAGCTATGTTAATTTAGAAAGAGGAATGGGCCAGATGATGCCAGCCTGTCATAGCAGACATTATGCCTAAGAAATCTAGAGCAGATGGGCAAAGGAATTTTCACTGGTGTGTGGGAAAGGCAAATACATGTGAAGTTTCCAGTTAGGATGCGATGAGAAATCTAGGGACATAAAAGGCTACAAGAGAGGATGTCTTTGCATATGTCAAGTGAAGCTGTGTTGGAACCAGCCAGCATAAGCCTTTACTGATCCTTGAGCATAGCCTTATTGCAGGTACTTGATCAATATTTATGGTAATCTCATGGTGTGGGTGCGGTTTTTGCTGAGGATTGTAACACCACTGTCTAACATGCAGTTAATGTTTTGTTAGAGTGTTTGTTTAAAGTCACTGTACAACTACTATTGGCCTTTGGATGTAATAAAAACATTTTGGCTCAATTGGTGATGGCTCAATTGGTGACTGGGTCATCTGAGCTCCAACACCAAAGGAAGTAGCAGACAGTGCTGACTTGACCTGGAGTCTGTGGAGATTGTCTTCTACCAGTAGAATCAGGGATGGTGTAGATAGTTTAGTTGCACTTCAGTGTGTCTTGTACTCGGCTTAGTAATTTAATTATATAAAATTTAAACCAGCTACAAACTTTAGATTTTTTGTAGCCATGCCGGGAATAGAAAGGAAGTACTTCCTTGGATGAGCACATGACGCCTTCTCTAAGGAGTAAAAACCTGGGAAGAAATGTATTACAAGGGGGCTAAACTGTTACACTGAGCCACAGTATAGGGGGTGGTCATTGAGAAGGTAGAGAATAGGGCTGGGAAAGAGATTTTGTCTCCATCCCTGAGGGCAATTTGTGTCTGTGATCTCAAGCAGGTAATTTAACTTCTCTGCCTCTATTTTTGTTTCTGAAAAATGCCCATGGGTGTTGTGGTTTAATTTGTTAATGTTTGTAAGGTGTAATAGGGTAAGTTTTGTTGTTATTGGCTGAGTGCAGAACTGCCCTGCTGCTGATATATCTGGTATAGATTAAAACTCTGGGATATAGATTTTTTAAAACAAAAATATTTATTCCAGGTCACTGGGTCTTAGTGGATTAACCAGGTCAGCACACTGGTCATGGATGAGGTAGATTGTACTTTGTCAACACATGATGTAGGTTTACACATAGAGTACTGAGCTACCGGATACATACATTATTAGCAGCATTTGTAATAACCTTGATCAGTTTGAAAGCAGGGGCCTGTCTTGTGTTTTTCATTCTTTCATTAACATTTTGTTTCCTAGATGCCAGTGCCCCTGTTGGCTTCGTCCTTGGAGTTGACCTCCTGCGGATTGCCCCTCTGGAAGGAGCAGTTTTCCTCTCCAATGCTGACATGACAGATCCAAGCACGCTTAATAAGATCCAGGAGATGCTTCCTTCAGGGAAAGCAGATGTTATTATGAGCGACATGGCACCTAATGCCACAGGGATCCAAGAACTAGATCATGAGAAACTGATTAACTTGTGCTTATCTGTTCTGGATATGTCCTCAAGCATCTTGCAGCCAGGGGGGATCATGCTCTGTAAATTCTGGAATGGAAGAGATGCCCAACTTCTCCAAAGCAGGCTGATGGAGCACTTCTGCAGCGTGAGAATTATAAAGCCTCAGGCCAGCAGGAAAGAATCTGCAGAATCCTATTACTTGGCAAGAGGGTACAGAAAGACTGTGAAAAACTGATTATGTCTGCCTTTCTCGCATGGGTTGTCAGTCATTGATTGGACACTGGGACTTGGGGTAGACCTAAAGAATAATCTATTTAAACTCTTACATTTTGGTTTTATTGTTAATCCTACTTTGGGAGAATCTGCTATTATTTATATTGTGCCATAGATATCCAAAGCAAGACAAGATTGCTGCTTCACTGAGCTGCTACTCTAATTATACCAGCAAAAACATCCAGTCTTACTCTGGGACGTGGGAGGAGGCTGTTGTGAATGGCATGCAGTGGCATGAAAGTCCATGGGGATAGAGTGATGGAAAGAAAAATAAAGCACTGGTTATAGTTTTGTTGGTGTGTGTGTGTGTGTGTGTGTGTGTTTTAAAATTACTACATTATCTTTTTAGTTATATTTGGAATGGAGCACCGAGTCAGTTGCCATAATGGGAGTGAAAAGGAAGAGGACTGCAAGCCAATTTTATGTGCCCTTCATCTTTTCTGAAGGCTATTGCAATTTATTAGAACATTTAGAAAATACATAATCATTTAATGGATCTCAAAATCTGCACTGTCATGTAAATCTGTAATGGGGTATTCAGAATATATGACTGTGATCACAGAATATTACAAGTTGATGGTTGTGCTGAGTTATTACCAATGCATGTGCCATGGACACACTATATTTAGAAACTGCTATTTCATCAAATTGCCAGTGTATTACAATAGAACAGGTTCATTGCCACGGATGAGGTCATTTTCACTCCTATTAATAGGAAGGCCCCTATTAGATCAATGATGCAAGGTGTTATTAATCTCCAGTAAGGAAAATGGTACTGGCAAATTTTTGCCGTCTGGTAGCAGCTGGAATTTTGTTTGTTGGAATAATTTCTGCACCTATTCATTTATTTTTTTTAATTATTTTTGAAAATAACTATTTTGATCCTCAAGCAATCTGTTCTTTACATTCCCTGTCAGTGGGCCTTCGAGCTGGGGGTGGTAGCACCACTTTTTTTTTTTTTTAAGGTTGCCTAATGTTTCTGACTTATAAATCCCATTTTATTTTGTTGTTACCAAATTTACGTTGCCCAATTGCATGCATGTGGCCTGAAAGTTTCCATGTTGCAGGGCTGCTTTCTTGCAGTCACAGCAATGAGCTTGTTAGAGTCGCTCGTGGACCAAATGCATGCAATCTGAGCAGCCAAATGACTTGCCCTTGGGCTCATGGGACCTCTGCTGCCAAGCTGGAGGCTTGACCTCATCTCCTGCATCAGGGAGCTTCAATCCAGCCTTCTTCCCTGTAATAAAGGAAGGGTTTTTGAACCCAAAAGCTTGCTTAATAACTATTCTCCAACCATTTGGGTTGGTCTAATAAAAGATATCAAATTCACCCAAGGAACCTTGTCTCCCTGTAATAAAAGCGTTTGTTCTCCCTTGTATGATGCTGCAGGGACACCCCCACTGCTCCTCCTCCCTCTTTAGAGTGATCACTTTGGGAATTAGTCGCGTATACTCTCAGTATTACGGTAGGCTGAGAGCGCTCAGAACACCCTCATCCCAGCATTACGGTAGAGGGCGCCAAGATCTCGCGGGAGCTGGAGGCGAGTTCTCCCTCCTCCCACCCCAGCGAGCCAGTGCAGCGCCTTCCCTCAGTGCACTGCACGGCTGTGCCCCCCCCTTCCCCCTCCCGGTGCCTAGCATGGTCCCCCAGTGCACTGCATGGTTGTGCCCCCGTTGCAGCCACACCCATGCAGTGTAGTGTAGTGTAGTGCACTGCACTGCACGCCTGAGCCTGGCCCCCTCCCTCCTCACCCTGCTGTTGGAGGGGCGCCGCTGTGTCCCCCCAGTGGTTGTGACACCCGCCTCCGTCCCAGCTGCGCCCGTGCCTGCTTTTAGCAGCAGTTGCTAAACTTTCTCTGCTTCTTTTTAATTTGGAAACATGAAGGGGCTCTCGTGCTGGGAAGATTCACGCCCCCCACCGCAGCGCTGCGCTGGGGAAGCCCAACGGGCTCCTCCGCGGGTGTGTGCCCGGTGTCAGCCTGGTGCTGGAGGGCGGGCAGTCACGCCGAGTGTGTCGGGCTTCCCGTGGCCGGCGGGGGTGTTTTGTTTCGCTGTTCGCTGGGACCGTGTTGCCCTGTGCGAATGCTATGAGCCGAGTTTATTTGTGAGAAGCATTGAGGGTATTTTCAAACGAAATCGACGTGCCCTTTGAAATCTTCATCCTGTCCTATACTTGTAGTAACATTTTCAAAGGTACATAAGTGAGTTAGGAGCCAAAATTTCCTTTATGAAAGTGACTTAGGCACTTGGGGAACTCAGATTAAATGAAAGTCAGTGAATGTTAGGGTTTAAATTCCTTTGTGAAAATGGGCGTTAGGGCCCAGAATAATTTAGGGGGCAAATTTTCCTACTAGTTCGGATGCAGATCAGGTGGGATCCTATCCCAGTCTGTAGTTAAAAAGCACTGAGAGGAAGCATTAGAAATGCTTTCTATTTGCCAATGTTACGTTCCAAGGATATTCTTGTCTCCAGTATTTGCCTTCTGCTCTTCTCTGCGTTATGTAGGATGAATACTGTGGAAATAGATGCTGCTGCCCCAAGCAGCGGAAGTGCCAAGGTACAGATTGTGGCCCCATAACTACAATCTAATTAAATGCAGGGGGAGTTTTGAATGTGTCAGCGTGTGGTGCCTTCTGACCAGTGGGTTAAAACTGTGGGGAAAGATGTGTTGAAATAAATGATACTACTGAGAACCATGTAAGGTAAGGGGTTGTACCGTAGTAGTCTGAGTTGATGTCACAAATCTACAAGCTTTCTCTTGGTGCTTTGTGGATCAGCTAAGGCCCCAGTAATGGCCTGTGAATCTCAGCTGTGGCTGACAATTTTGGCTTTGCACTCTGTAAATGAGAAGGCTCTAGGCTCCATAGTGACCCAGGAAGGGGATGCATTTTGTAACAGCAGTGAGTAGTGAGTAACTTGCCCTGTATGTTTCCCTTGTATGTTTCCAGGGAGCCATGGAAAACCTGGAAGATAATACAACTGTCTTCTCCACTTTGAGATCTCTCAACAACTTCATCTCACAGCGCATGGAGGGGACATCTGGCTTGGCCACTCCAGGATCATCTCAAAATACCTTGCATATGCAGTACCAGCAGAGGGTACAGGTGAGGCATCCCTAGCTCGCCGACAGCAATAAGTGTTTGTAGTGTCAGTGAGAGTTCATGTGATTCTCAGGCTGTCCACTTGTTCATTTAGGTGATTGTGCCCGTTAATCTATTTAACTTATTCTCCTAACAGTGTCAATAAAGGAGATATTTTTAAAGGTGCAAATTCCTAAGTCCTTAATTTTTTAATATGTTTGTTAAGGACATGATTCTTTATCTTGGTAAATATTCAAAGAGGTCCTTTGAGTTTCCTTCGTGTAGGTTATCTGCAGGCCAAATCAGGACCGTAAATTGTGAGGTGGTTTCATCCCACTCCATCATAAGCTTAAATGGGTCGTTTACAGGCAACCCCCGCTTAACGCTGTTTCGCTTAGTGCTATTTTGCTATAACGCTCATTTTAAATTGATACCTGATTTTGCTTAGTGCTCAGCGAGTTTCGTTATAAAGCTCACGGTCGCCGTCTTTGGGTCATTAAAAACAATTGTGTGGTTGCCATTTTGGGTCATCAAATACTTGTGGTTTCGCTTAATGCTTGGTTTTTCAGGAACCAATTAAGAGCACTAAGCAGGGGTTGCCTGTACTTGGGATGAGGGCAACCACTTTTCCCAGGTCATCTGCAGAGAACCCAGTGGGAGTTAAGTAGCTACTTTGTTCCCATCTTTTTCCTTACACTGCTGACCAGTCTTGTTTCTCTGTTGTCCCTTGTCTGTCTGTATTTTTTATCTTATTCTTAAATTGTGAGCTGGCTTTGGGCAGGGGCTTCCCTTTTGTTATGTATTTGTACAGTGTGTAGCAGGCAGGGGCTGCCTCCTTATTATGTATTTGTATAGTTATGTAGCAAGGTGACTCAACTTGCCTGGGGAACATTGCTGTTATTCACTCAATTTGCTGAACTCACTCCATTGAGGACATTCATATGGACAAGAAACGTAGCCCAAGAAATGTTAATGTTTCATTTGCTAAATTACTCATGGAGAGTATGGTGATAGGCACTGTACAATGCCTAATATATATTAGACCACTGTCACTTAATAGTTCCTGTGTTCCAGAGTTTGATGTGGTATTCTGTTAGGTCTGAGTGTAAAGTATAGATGCATTGATCTTTATTTAACCCTCCACTGCATTTCAAATTCTAGCTAATTTTCTGATTTCCGGATTCGTCTTTTAGTTGTGCGTTGCTGGTTGCGGAAAATCTGTATCCCAGCTTTTTGATTGAACGTATGTTCAGTTTGAAGATTTCCTACAGACAAAATATTCTGTTACTCCCTTGCATACTGTCCTGGTAGTAATTTTGCATGAAGCATGCTTTCATCAAAATAAAACCAAAGATTGTGCCAGGTACCTCCAGGTGCACTCCAACTTGCTACCTTGCTGAGCATTTAGATCTCTGATTCCTTAGCTATGTGGTGTTTCTTCTTTGAGACAGCCAAGAGGATCTGTAGGTAACTTTGTTTTGTTTCAGAATATGATTGCTTGCTGCTGACTGTATTTTGTCTTTCCTTGCTTGTGAACCAATCAGCTGGAGGAACAAGCTGGGCAGATCCATTCAAAATCTCAGCTCCTGCAGGTGGAACGGGAGAAGATGCAGATGGAGCTTAGCCACAAACGAGCTCGTATTGAGCTAGAGAAAGCAGCTAACACGAATGCCAGGAACTATGAGGTGGGTAGGGCATAGTCATCTGGTGTCTGACAGGTAGGGCTCTCATGAGAGCATCTTGTGAGCATCGCATGAGCGTTCCTGTGGCTCACAAATGGTTTGATGCATATCTGAGTCCTGGCTTCTGTAAGTTTTTTTTTTTAGCACTCAATTGGTTATCAGCTCAGCATGTACAAAGAGAGGTTTGGGGCTGGAATGCTAAACCTCATTTCTCTCAGAAGTATTTGAACTTCTCTTGGCAGAATTGCAAACACTTAGCATGTTTAACTGTAATGGGAATGGCAACAGCACCAATCATGAAACTGTCACACAAGAGAGGCTGCATTGATAAGACCGTGAGTCCCACTCAGACTAATAGGTTTCATTGCTCTCTGGTTTTATAACCATGCATCGTGCTTACCTATGTTGCTGAAATAAGCAGCAGAGCTTGTGGGCTTTGTCATCCTACAAAGCTCTTCAATTTTTCTTCAGAAGTTAGCTACTTAAAAAGACATGCAGCAAAATGTTATGAGAAGGCCGATTTACTCTGCTGCTGTGAAGTGGTGGGTCACAGAGAAAATTCCTAGTTCCTCTCAAGTCAGGTGATTTTGGGATTAAGCCAAGAAGAGTTCAAACCAGAATGTAGCTGAGTCAGTCACAGAAACCCTCAAAATACCAATACAAAAAAGGAGCAGCACTAATCCAGCACTCTGGTAATTGCCCTGCTCAAATTTTGTGTTCATGAGTCATGTGGATAAAGGTTTTAGGAACCTAGCCTTGCTTTGCATAATCCTTGCTTAGTATGTAAATCCGGTGCTCGATATGCTTTGATTAGCAGAGCAATTTGCTACACATTTTTCAATAAATGTTAATCAATTTGAGTTATGAAACGGTGTGTGAAATGTTGGCAGAAAGCAAAAAAAAAAAAAAAAAAGCAAGAAAAGCAGAACTGGTTGAAAAAACCCAAATCTGGCCCTGTACATTGGTGATTTTATGCACTGTTATTTATACAGTTTGCTTATAGTTGGTTTCCAATTAAAATACCTCAGATTTGTAATAATATAGTGCAAAGAGATTGCAACAATTAACTAATTTTGTTAACCCAGGTCTTTGAAGGCCTATGGCTTATTTATAATAGGTCACCTTTTAACTGATATGGCCAAGATTTTTGTGTTTGATCTAAAGTGTGCTTTGCAAACTGAAGCCGCTTCTATATTCTGACGTCTACATGTCTGTCCAAGAGGTGCCCAGAGTCTGTCATTTAATTTTTTGTCTCCGTGAGCCTGTTTTTCATTTCCACCTGGACTTCAGGAAGATTCTTCCTTTGAAAGGGAGTAGGGTTTAAATTTTTGCTTTTGAGAACCATTGCTTAAAGCAGTGTTTCCCAACCAGTGTGCCATGGCACAAAAGTGTGCTGTCATAAATGAACAGGCGTGCTGCGGAATTTTGCCATGGCAGTGTGCTACAATAGGTATGAGGATGGGGAATGCCTTAACAGGTGTGCTGCAGAATATTTTTATTAATGTAAATATACCTTGGGCTGGAAAAGGTTGGGAAACACTGGCTTAAAGGTAATGCCTTTTGGACTTCAGACAAGGAAAAAAATGGCTGCACCCTTATGCTGCTTTTGTTTTATGATTTTCTTTTGCATTTCCCCTTCTGTAGCATGAGGCTGACCGGAACCAAGAGCTTCTCACACGCATAAAGCAGTATCAAGAGAGGGAAGTGGAGGCTGAGAATAAACTAAAGGAACAAATTGAGATGAATAAATCCTATAAGAAGAGTATGGAAACCATGAGCAAGAAGCTGCAGGAGAAGGAGAGCAAATTAGCTGAAGCTAATGAAGTAGGTGCCTAGTACTTTCTTCTTTTGTCCACAGCTCTGGGTGACTTTGAGGGTCATGTAAATCAGAGCAACTAACTCTTAGTACCAAGGCTGGAACCAGAAACTATGCTGTGATTTAACAAATGTAGATTTGTTAATATATGCATCTACCCCAAACAGTCTAAACGAACCAAGGCACAGGAAAATAGTTTGAGAAGGTGGTGTGGGGATTGATTAGAGGAAATGGCTGGAGGAGAAGTGAGGGCATGCCAGGTACTGGGGAAATTGGGGGAGAGAAGGCATGAAGCAGAGAGTAGGGGAAGTAAAGAGGGCAGTAGTGAGGTGAGGGTGTGGATGAGGAAATGAGCAGGAGAGTAAGAGGTGCTGAGATACAGGTGGGGACAAAACTATGAGCAGGGGATGTCTTCCAAAACTGTTAACTTCCTTTCCTAGATTTTGATAGTTAAATATTTTTTTGATTGTTAAATAGTCTTAGCTGCTCAGGTCTGATGTGGAAGGTTTCTGGGTTATTATATATCATGCAAGGCAAGGACTTTTTTGGGTGATATCTTCTGTTGGACCAACTGCTTGGTTGGGATGAAGTTAGACAAGCTTTTGAATGCATCTAACTTCAGTTGGAATTAGTGACCATAACACCATCGCAGTCCTCCTGTTGCTTGAGAGGACACTTGAGCCATTATTAGGTCTTCAAACAGTCCCATTCCAGTGCCATTTATCTCATGTCCCTCAACTTTGGGGTAGTTTTTTTGTTTGTCTTTGTCAGTAAAGTATCCAGAACTGGCCTTAGGGAAAATGGCGCCCTGGGTGAACTTGTATTTTGGCTCCCCCCCACTCCAGTCACCAGCGCTGGGTGGGTGGGTGGGCGTGTGTCCGCCCACCCGAGATGCTGACCTGCTGCCAGGTGGTGGGGCTGGGTAGCAGAAGCTCAGTGTGGGCAGCAGGAAGGGCAGGCAGCAAGAAGGCCAGCCCCAGTAGCAGGGCAGTGCTGCCCTCACCCTCTGCAGTAGAGCCAGTGGCGGGCTGGAGCTCAGTCTCCAGTCCCAACAGCTCAGTGATGGTGAAGCACTTGGCATGCAAGCTGAGGCCACCCAGCCACTTCTTCCTCTTGCTGGGCATTGCTGCCTTGCCCTTGGCCTGGCTCTTGGTGCTCTCCTCTAGGCCTGTCATGCTGCTTGGCAGTGCCTACTGCCACTGCTGCCCAGGGGCTTTTTATTGTGCTGCCCTGGCTGGCAGGCTCCAATCAGCTGCAGGCATGGCCAGAGATGGGGCAGGTCCTGCTGTGCAGCCCTCAGGATTAGTTGCCACCAAAGTTCCCTGACAGCTCCTTCCTGGCACAAGCTGTGGGGCAGGGCAGGGTGTATGTGTGTATGCATGTGAGGCCACCCTCGGTGGTCACCCATGCTGCCCATCCCTAAGGCCGACTCTGAAAGTACCTGACATATTTTAGGTATTGTATGTGAAGTCTCAGAATGCTTATGATGGGGGAGAGGCCTGAGGGCCAGGTTATCCCAGCCTGTGGTTCAATTCTTCAGGTTTGCTTTTGATTTTGCTTTGTTTGCTGTGTTTATAAATTGGGCAATTGGTTTAAGCTTATTTCAGTTTTTATCCCCATGTATGAGTATTTGGATTTGGTTTAGGGGCTTAGGTACTTTGCAGCAAGTAAAGGTATGACAGCAAGTGCTGCTATGAGTCCCCCTTTATTTATGCCCTAAATGTTCCCTTGACACTGATTTAGGTAAAGGTGAAATGATCATAGTATCTAGATTTGTGTTGGGGGTGTAATACCTTCACAGTTACTTGGCTTGTTGAGAATTGGGTCTCTGTTTTGAAACCTCACTGCTAAGGTATGTGGGCATATAATTATGGTGGGATAATTTGCAGCCATAAGTCTGATGCTTGCATGTGGGCATGTTCTGGCTTTGAAGCCTTTCTGTGTGCCAGTCTGAGATTACTCATTTAATGGATAATGGAATTGACAATTTTGTGGCAGATGAAAGAGAGCAAAGATTCTTCTTTGCCTTTGTTCTGAAGTGAGTTTGCAGGTCTGAATGGATTATTTCTAGATTCAGCGCTTTACATTGTTCATTTGCGTTTGATCTCAGCGGTTTGCCTTTTATCATATCTGGCCTGAAGGTCCATTGGTCTATTTATCTGTTGTTCTTTCCCTTCTTCTTTCTGTGAATCCAGACCATCAGCATGCTAGAAGGGAGAATGTCTGAGCTAAAGTGGAGTTTAATGAATCGGGAGATGCAAACAGCAAGCCAGGAGTCTCAGAGAGAGGAGCTGATGGAACAGCTGGATGTACAACTCAAGTAAGTAGGGAATCAACAACTGCCAGGAGAAAAAAACAAACCTTCAGTCTTCTGCAGCTGCTGTCACTCAGGAAACTTTCAACAGCTTTTGATTTCTGCTCTTCAAAGGGCTGCTTTGATCTGGATATACAGGTTATAAAAGTTGTTGGAAACTAGCTCTGAGGAGCAGTTTAATTTTATCTTGAAAAATAAGTACCCAGGTTTAAAACCTCCTTGCCTGATGTATGACATTTTAAGACACAGAGTTAACAGGAGGTGGGTGTGTGGAGAAGGCTAATCTAAGTGTTAAGATTAATTTATGACCTGATAGTTGCTTTCATAATGTTTGTAACTGAGGGTTAATTAAAAGAGCTGATGAAGCGTGTCCCTGCTCACTGAATTTTTATTCAGTTCTGTCCTCCAATGCCCTGCTAGGACCCAAGTATAAGTGACTCTTTATGTATTGTACATGCAGACTTTGGTGCAGGAGTGTAGGTGGTTTGATTGGGGTGTACCTAAGTATAAGTGGAATAATTTTTTTTCCTATGAATGACTGTTCTCATTCCTTTAACTGTATTTTCTAAATATACCTCTATGTGGATTGCTTCTGTCAAGCGATTCTTGTATATAAATGGATATCTTGTATCTGCATGAAATAGAAAATGGCAGGAAGCCAGCCAGCAAATCCAAACTCTGCAAGCAGGCCAGACCCTGATGGCTGAATACGAGCAGAAGATTAAGGTGAGAAACTTTGTGACCCACTCTCAGCTTTTCCTCTTTCATTTTTACATGGAAAAGCAGACAGCATGTATAAAAATTATCCTTCCAGAAGTAGAAGGCTAGCCTGTCAGGTAAGTAGCTAAGTGGCTTGCCTGTTGAGTCAGAGAGAGCTGAAGTTACCTCAGTTCAAATTTCAAAGCATGAAAATTAGCAAAGTGGATTATATAGCTTATGATAAGCAGCCTTTACATGGCACTCTTCATCTTTAATATATAGTAAAGTCCAACTGGCTGAAAGCTCTATACATTCCTTCTTTGCAGAAGACTGACTAACATCTTTACATTGCTTGCTCACTTGATTCAAGCTCTTCCTGATTTTATTCACTGTTCTGGCACAGTAGTCCTAGGCAAATGGTGGTAGATGAACACAGTAACTCTGAACTCATCCCTGCTCTCAGGCAGGTCCTTTCAAAGCATGTTTTTATGAACCATAGTAAGCTTGAAGGCTTTTGATTATCTGCTAACTTCAGGGCAGGGTGGGGGATATTAGAGGTGTCTTTTACCAAACTAATGTCTAGGCCAGTTCAGCATGAATCATTCCTATATTAGGAGGCATGGTGGGGGAAACAGGTAGAGGAAACTAAGCCTTTCTTTGAGCAGTGCTTATTATGGAATTCCTTTTGGTAGGCATTGCAGAGAGCCACGCTGAAAGGCAGCAGCATTGCCAGTGCTTCATGGGTACAAAAAGAAAAACCTTCAAAGAAGGGGAAGCATGGTTTAAAGGGCTGGGGTGGGGAAAGCAGGCAGTTCACTGTAGTGCTGTTCTGAATAAACCTTTCCTTAGTTTGCTGTAGGAAACAGTGGTTGCTGTTACACTACATGAAAAAGGTGTGGCTACTTGATGCTCTCTATCTCCCTTGCATGCGTGTTCCTTTCATCTGCAACTTTTCAAATCCATTGGAGCTCATATTTTTTTTACCTTGTAGTGTTTGAGAAAAACAGAGCATTTGGCTCATAACTCCTTGGCTAGTAGGGAATTGAAGTGTGCGGGAGAGGACAGATGGTCTGTAAATGCTAGCGGAGTCTGTTTCTGATGATGTTGGTGCAAATGCGAGTAGCAAAGAAAAGAGCATTTGGACAAGTTTAGCAGTCCAGTGGAGAGGTCGCCCTGAGCCCTCCTGAATTAAGCTCACTTGTCTTGTTCCCTTGTCATTTCTTGCCTTCCAGGATCTGGAACAGAAGCTTTCCCTGCAGGAACAAGATGCTGCAATTGTGAAGAACATGAAAGCAGAGCTGGCCCGATTCCCAAAGATGGAGCGAGAGCTGCGCCAGCTCAGGGAGGAAAATGCCTATTTCAGGTGAGAAGGGAAGATCTGCCTCCAGTATGGCAGCATCTGTCAAGAATGACTCCCTGCTGCTCCTGTCTATCCCCCCAGTATTTACTGTCGCACTGAGCAGAGATTGAAAAGCCCTTTCCTGCAGGGCAGCATATTATAAAGGAGACTTCCATTAAGGGATGCTGTGAAAGGAAGTTTCTGTAGAGTTTGTAAATGTATAGGTCTTCTATGAGTACTGTGTATGAGTTGAGACAGGTTTGTGATGCTTCCACAGTTGTGGTTTGGAGGGATCTACTTAATCTCCCCTTTAACAGGTCTGATTTGAGGGCTTCATAAATGGAGGGTTGATCATTGTGGTTGTGCATGAGAGGTTTACTGTCTCATTTTGGATCAAAAGGGGATTAGAGAGAAATATGAAATTCAGTATGCTGATAATAAACACTTCCTGTGTGGATTTGTGAAAGTTCCTCCCTTCCATCACTGGGCATTTCTGCCATCTTTTATGACTTGTCAAGGATTTCAGTTCCTTGCCTGGTCACCATCAGATCAGTATTTCCACTGCTCTTTTAAAGCCCTCTTGAGCTCACATAATGATGAAGCCTTGCTGCTGGGGTTCATGAGCTCTGATGTGGCTGCCTCTGAAACCTGGCTGCAGGCTTCAGAAATGGTAACACTTTTTGAAACTCATGTCTAGAGTAATCTTGTATTGCTTTTATGTGCTATGATTGAGAGCAGCAAGCTGAAGTTGAGAGAGAGCTGAATTTCAATCTTATGTAAACCAAGGAAATCAGATGATCTATAGTCCTTGAGCATCTGGTTTTGCTAGATTTCCTTTACCCAAAGGTTGGGATCAAAGTGGGATCATTTGACTTTTCTCTTGGGGTATGTGTGTTGATGCTTACTATCCAACGTCTTCAAAACTCTAGAAGCTTCTCTGTGTATGTAGGTTGAGAAATTAGGTCCCGTTTTTGATGCAGACTATCTGAATAATATACCCCGTGGCAGAATGGGGTTGGATTCTTTCTTCTCAGTCCAAGGACTGCTTATGCAGTCCCTTCAGTGGATAGCAGTCCAAGCAGCACTCGCTCGTTGTGCACATGAAAGCACTCTGTGTTAGTCTCTCACTCCACTGGGTGGCGTTATGAGTGTCCCCATTAATACCCGGGCCCTGTGAAGGTTGACTAAGCAGGTTTTCCTCCTTGCGGTGTGCAGATTTTGTGGGCCACTTCCTACCTTAGTTCTGCAGCAACAAGAGCCTCTGTCTTTGTCACGTGTCCTTCTCCTCCATCTACAACACCACAGCACTCCACAGTGCAGTATGTGACCAGGAAGCTACGTCTCCTACCAGAAACTGTCCCACAGGCCTGAAAGCTTCTCCCTGCACTGGCTTTCCTCCATTGGCTTGTAGCTGTTACAGTCCAAGGAGGCATGAGTAGAAATATTTTACATAAGAGACCTACTATCTGGGCCTCACTCATTTAAACTTTTCTTTACCCATTTGCGGTTAATTAGCCCCATTACAACCCCAACACAATCTATATTGAAATAAACATTTCTTCATGTTTAACATCCTCCTGTCTGCACACTTCTAACAGCACAAACCTTTGCCAAGTTTCCAACTCACTGTTTGTACCTCTCTGGAGCATAGCTTTGTGGCTGCCTTGTTAACTTAAATGCTGTTTTGACCGATCGGCGGATATGAAACTTTAATTTATTTGGACATAACTAGGATGACATTTTAGATCAGAAGAACGCAGTCCAGTGAAGGCTCCAGTGTGTGAAATAGTTGCTTTGTAGCTGAGGTTACAGATGGGAGTCAGCTGAGTATCACAGTATGTGCAGTGCCTTATGCTTTCTTGTAATTGCACGTATTTTTGGATGTTTGCATAAGGGAATTGAGTTATGTGGCTTTTAATGGCTTTGCTCTTTCTTAGGGAAATGAAAGAAAACAATGGATTGCTCAAGGAGGAGGTAGAAGGTCTGCAGAGGAAACTGGAACGCTATGAGAAAGTTCAGGCCAGCCTAGTGGCTCTTGAATTGGAGAATGAGGTGAGGAACCAAGAACACTTGCCCTGTATAAATAATCAGATTTACTGATGGTGGTCAGGGAGTCCTTTAGGGTGAATCCTTTGAAATTAAGGGTTAAGTGATGGCTGTAATTCATGTCTAAACGAATGCTCCAAGGCTTTTACGTAGCAGTACAAGTGGGGAGCATTCATTATGAGGGGAAAACACAGAGCTGTATCCATTATTTTTCTTATATTGTTTTTAAGAAAGAGCAGGTCTTCATTATGTCTTTTGCCTTGCCCCTGCTCTGAATATCCTCTTGGATGTTCAGTGCTGTCCCGAGGTGATGTGATATGATACATGAGTTGGAAAACTACAGTACGCACTTGGATCACCACTGCTGTTGGAGGGATGTGCTATGGCCTTGAATCATTATAATAACCAATTTTTGTTTTGCTATCATTGGTAGCATCACTTTCATCCCACACTCAATCAGATATTGAATTTTTACTTTACTTGTTACTTGGGCATGAAGACTGTTGTTGGAGTGAAGCACTATCATGGTGGATTGTTCTGGCTTGGATTAATCTATCCTGTCTTTTGGCAGGCAGGGTTATGAAGAAAATTGGTGCTGGAGCTTGCATAGAACTAGGATGTTGGGACTATAGCTTTCTTTTCTCACAGTTCTGCAGTAATCAGGTATAGTGGAGTGGATCTGACTCACAAGAAAAGATAATAAAAATGGTGCATGGTTGGAGTGTGCACTGTGCCACATGACTGTAGACTGGGAGGATTAATGTCCCTGTCACCAATGTGTATGAGGGTCAGAGAATGGGCTCCAGTGCTGCTTCAGCACATGCAAGTGATTAAGTTGACAGAAAACAAGGGGAAAAGGCCAAGTTGAGAGGAATGTAAAATAAAACTGTAGGAGTTGAGGTGTTCAGAGCTTTTGTTCAGGTCTTCTTCATGACTTTTTTTTTTGACCTGCTCCCTAGAAACTTCTGGGAAAGTTGAAAAGCTGGGAGAAACTGGACCAGAGCACGGGCCTAAACATCAGGTAGGTGCTATGGGCTGATGGAGTGAAACATTTGCACCACTTGCTTTTACTCTTGGTGACTGGTGGATGCAGCTTGTCAGGCTGTTTATGCTTTCTGTTCTTTGTTGAAACTTGTTTGCTCTTCTCTTTCTCAACACTAGAAACTAGATAGGTTATACCGTGCTAAATACCTATGGGCATAAAGTATCTCATAGTGAAATCTTGGGAATGGTGAATAAATCTAATCTCCACTGCAAAGTTTTGCCTGGTTCTGCCAGCAAAACTTCTTGTTTATTTGCACCCAAAGCTCTTCTGCAGAACAGAGCCCTTCTCTCTGCTGACAGAATTACAAGGCTTTTGCTGAGCAGAGTGAAATTGCTTCTGCTGTCTAGCCACTGGCAGAAGGTGCCTCGAGACACTGGTGTGCCTTCTGCCAGCTGCCAGGGTTTCTTTAGCAGCTGGTGTTTTCCTAGGGTACACCCTGTCAGTACAGCTGCTGCAGTGGACCTGGGTAGAGCTGCCACAAAGACATGGCTGTATACATAGGTGACTTGTGGGGTGGGGGGGCATTGCTCTTCTCCCCTCAGATTTCTGTGCTAACAATGGGGCTTGGGGCTGCAGCCTGGCTAGAACCAGGGCCAGGCATCAACAGAGGCAACACTTGTGTCATCTGTGGTTGTGTACATTCTCCTTGGTGGTTGTAGCTGCTGTCTGACAAAGCCTCAGGCAACCTGCTACATTGTCCTTCCCAAGCAATTAACTTAAAGCAATTCTTTCCTGTATTTTATGAGATACAGAATTATACCTATTTCATAGAAGCAGAAGGAATGTCGTATTACTGGTACAGAGAAAATTTCACTAGTTACACGAGTCAACAGAGGGCTGGTATCTAACATAGCAAGTGAAGAGATTGACTTCTTTAACATTGAGCTGGATCACAACACAGTTAGTTCTTTTAAATTTGTATGTGATGTAGCCAAAGAGATGGAAGGGTTGTTTCATGGTGGTAGGAAGCCTCTTAATTTAGGGGTATATCAGGAATCACTTCTAAAAGCCCTGTGGCTTTCACATGATTTCAGTTTTGACTACAGAACAGTTTGTATTTGCGATTCTGTTTTGGGCACGTTATTACATTACTGTGTAAAAGAGGATTCCCTTCCCTTCTTTACTTATCTCATTATTTTCTTTTGTTAATGTCTGTGATGAGCTGCCTGTTCCCACATGCACACAGGTTGTTAGCGCTGCTGAGACTTTCTCTCTCCCACGTTTAGATGTAGTGCAGACTTGCAGCACTTCTTCAATGGCAGGGAACAGACCGAAGTACTTTTGAGTTCTTCCCACCAAACTTGCTCTCTGTCAGACAGTGTCATGGAAGCTTTTACTTACCTCAAGCTGTTAAAGGCTTAATGAGGTAATTTCACACTGGGAGGGAAATGGAGCCAAGTGACTTTTCCAGTAGAAGTCTAATAGCCTCTTCATTTAAAATCAGAATATTCACTGCAAAGTGTTAGGGTTTTGATTGTGCCACATTATTTAGCACCATTAAGGGTGTCTCTTCATACAGAAAAGGGAATTGCTCTCGAGAAAATCACCTTTTGCATGCAATTGTACCAAGTGGAATTGGGGGATTTCTTTCTTTTTTTTTTTTTTTTAATCCAGCTTCTTACAGCATGAATTATGTTCATTTTCAGCGAGGGTTATGAGAGGACATGTATAAAGGGAGATCGCTGTCCCAAACAGGTTCCTGAAGCATACCCTGGTGAAAGCTTGAGGAGAGTTAATTGCCAGTCACTGAGTAGAAGAGAATGGGAACAGTTGGATGGTTATCCCAAAGAGCCAGTGCAATGTGCTGTCTGTCTGCTAATAACAAGATAAGCAGGAACAAAGAGAATACATTATGTCCCTTCATCTCCTCTTATTATTTCCTTCATTTGTACATAGAATGCAGGAGAACAGCATGCAGCCTGTGGCGTTTTGGGGAGAGGATAGTTTTTTGGTTCCTCCAGCAGCTCCAAAAGGCTTTTGTTTTGTGTCTGTTCTTAACAGCTCCTGTTTACTGACTGCCTGGTCCCAGCAGGCTCTGTCAGACTGGCTTACGATCAGGCCTTTTGGCATGTAATTTTATCTAAAAGATTTGGAAGGGAGTGGGCCACCTTTTTGGAGCGTTCAGGGCAAACATCTCTGCCTGTTTCTTCTGGGTAGCTTGCAGACTGCCGATTGCCTTACATTGCTACGTCTTTGGGTGAAATAGATCACAAACTAAATGGCTGGTCTTCCTGCATTTTAGTCCAGGGGCTGGCAACATTTTCTGGCCATGGGGGCTGGAATGATCGAGCTCTGGTTGGAGGAAGCCAGGCATTGAGCCCCAGCTATCACTTTTTCCTGCCACTCAAGCTGTGGTGCAACAAGACCAAAGTCCAACTCTGTGCAGCATGGCATGGACAGAGTTCCCTTCTGCTGGAGCTCCAGGTATCTAGATGACTGTGGTATGATGCACCCGAAGCCATGGCTCCATGGGCAAGATCCAAAGGCTCTGCAGGCTGTAGGTTGCTGGCTCTTGTTCTGGATTCACTTAACATTTCAAACGCCTTGGTTTGCACTTTTTTTCCTAAACTGTAGAAACCAAGACTTGTTAATGTTGTCTTCTGGCCCTGAGTTGTTTTATATCATCTTCTCACTGTTTCTTTGCAGTGTTCTTCCTAGTCCATGGCTTTTGCCCTGTATAATGTAAGCAATAGTGCCAACAGTGTACAGCATGAGATGCACACGCAAGTTACTCCCTTCTACTGCAACCAGACCATGCCAGTGCACATCTGTTGTTCATTTTGTATCCAAATTCTGAATCTATTTACAGTCTTCTGTGCACTTGCTCATGTATTCCTCTAGTATTTCTGTCCTAATAGTGTCTGCTCTCCTATTTACTAGACTGTCATAAAGCAACATTGTTGGGTTTGCAGGAATTCCCTTAGTTTCTTGTCTGTCCCATTATAGCTACCTTGCCAGGGACGGCCAAGAACTCTCTTACACATTTAAACCTTCAGTCTTTCTGACCTTGCGATTCTTCTCCAGCAAACCTTATCTGCTGTAGCAGGGAGAAATTATACAGGATCTGAAATCTCTTTGCTTTGTAATTGGAATTACTCTTCCTTTGAAGGTGACTGCTGGTTGTCTGTTGTAAGGTTTTGATTGCTAAGAACAAGCTGATGTTCTAGTGTCAGTACAGAATGTTCCTGGTGTTCTTTCTCTTTCCAAGGCATGTTTATTGACCTTACATTTTTATAGACCGCGGTGCTTGGGTGGCTGGGGGATTGGTTACCAGTGGTGGGTACCAGTACAAATCTAGAGTGACTTTTGGCTTTACCAGAGAGATGCCATTGCCACAGAGAAGCCTTCTCTATAAATGTTAGACAAGAATTTCTATTAGCTAAGCAATGACGTTTCTAGGAGAATGTAAGTGCTCCAGGTGTCTAAAAAGAAACGCAGTTCTTGGGACTGCCCGCTAGATGGTAGACTTTCTCTTGTTGGATCAGAGAATTGATTTCACTCCATTCCCTGGGCTCTGACTCCTGGAAAACATCAGCTGGGCACCTTAAAAGGGTTAGGCATTTGTCTAATTAACATTTTCTCATTTTCTAACATCAAATGCTTTTAAAATCTATTTAACACCACAAGAATGTGATCACTCTGTCTTGATGTGCCGCAGGGTTCCCTTTCAGTGCCCTTTACCTGCATGTGCACAGATTGACGCACCTTGCCATTGCCTTAATGCAGGACACGCATCCGGCTCTGTCACCCTTATTTTTTCTCTCCCCCTTTCTTACAAAAAGTTGGTCCTAGTCCGACTCTTTTCCTCACCCTGGAAAGCCCCAGACTCATCCACCAGAGGGCAGAATTGCTCTTAATCTGATTTATCTCCCCATTTTTTTCTTGCCTGTTGCCTTTTCTTTATGTAACACCCAAAGTACACTAGGCTCTTGACAAATGCATAGATAAGGTCCCTGCCCTGCAATGCTTCTCATCTAAATCAGCTTACAGCCCATCTGGAGCAGATGGCAGCTCACTCTTGCATCTGCCTTGCCTTGTTTCTGTTCAGCTGCTGTTGCCTTCATCTACCTCTAAAGCACACGCAGTTTAGTTATTCAGTTGACAGCTCCAACCCCAGGTTTTTTGGGGTTTTTTTGCAGTAGCTCTGTGCTGGAGTAAGGGTGCTACACACTTTAGGTGGCTTGTTTAAAAAAAAAAAAAAATGAGGTGCCTTTTAAGTTAGTTTAGCTATTCGTATTGACTGGTAGATTTGGTGTGGATATGACCAGCACGTGTCTGTTCTTGAAGTCTCGACTTTGCAGGGTTTTTTGGAAAGACTTCTGGAACATTATGCACACTCCTGGAGTCCCGTAACTGAGAAATCTCAGGAAATCTGGGGGTTTTGCTTGCTTCTGAAATCTCTCTTTGAAGAAAGGAAAGGACAGAACCAGGATTTCTGGGTTTTTATTTTTAACTTGTCAGCGCTGATTTCTGAACCTGAGTTTAGCAGGTAGGATAATCCGGCAGCGATGTCTGTTGGTACAGTAGAATGAATCCCTGAAAGCTGTAAGGGATTATGACATTCGGAGAGCTGTAATCAGAGTGATGAGGCGGGGACAGCTTATATTCAGATGAGAGTCTCTCTGACTAGTCATCAGAGTTGTGCCTGTGTTAGAAGCAAAGCAGGACACAGCTAATCGGTGGGTCTTCTTATTCCTGCACTTCATTGTCTGTTGAAATCCATCTTCTTGCCTGATCAGGCCTAGGGGTAGAGGAGGAAGGGTTTTTTGTGTTGCTCTCCAGAATTATTTTCCTTTTTTCCAGCACCACTGGCTGGCTGGTATCCATTCTTCGCTCTAGGAGGAAAGTTCATTGCCTGTTCCTATAGTAAAATAGATGCGAGGTAGAAGCTGTTGGAGGAGAGAGGTGTGTGTAATGATATCAGAAAGGGAGTGGTGTGTTGTTTAAAATGGCAGGCAGGGTTCTTTGGGTAGATG